CTGGCAGTGCAGAGGCAAACCCACCTGGGCTGCTGCATTGTGGCAAGATATTGTTGCCCGGGTAGAGAACCTGGCTGTAAAGGTACGCCACGTAGATGCTCACATGCCCAAGAATCGGGCTACTGAAGAACATCAAAACAACCAGCAGGTGGATCAGGCTGCTAAGATTGAAGTGGCTCAGGTGGACCTGCACTGATAACATAAGGGTGAATTATTTATAGCCCAATGGGCCCATGACACCTCAGGCCATCAAGGTAGAGATGCAACATACAGATGGGCTTAGGATCGATGGGCGAACCTGACCATGACTGCTATAGCACAAGTTATTCATGATTGTGAAACATGCTGCAATCAAGCAAGCCAAGTGGTTAAAGCATCTTCGTTATGGGGGAGGAATGGGGAGGTCCGATGTGTACCTCAAGGGGATCTGATGTTGGGTGGGAATAGCCCATGAGTTGAATTGTATTATGTTAATTATTATATAATGCTGTATGTCATCACTACCTTGATGGCTACATGTCAATGTCCCATTAATGGTATCACAGTAACAGCCATGCAGATAATGATGAATGAATTTTGATAGAATTGGACAAGCACAGCGGTGTGATGGAACCAGAACGAGCTTCAGCCCTGAAAGACTGCTGGGACAGATAGAGCCCAAAGTCAGTCACAGACTCCACAAGCTCAGTGGACATTTTATATACATATATGAAGGTGGTGACTAATTGGAATGTATTGGGAAGTGTGGGACCTAAGCATTACATAAATGGTATGGAATAAGGGGTGGCTATTGTCCTGGTTTTGGCTAGGATAGAGTTAATTTTCCTCCTAGTAGCTGGTATGGTGCTGTGTTTGGGATTTAGGATGAAAATAATGTTGATAACACACAGGTGTTTTAATTGTTGCAGAGCAGTACTTACACTAAGCCAAGGACTTTTCAGTTTCTCCCTCTGTCCTGCCCGCGGGCAGGCTGGGGGTGCAGCAGGAGCTGGGAGGGGACAGATCCAGGACAGGTGACCCAAACTAGCCAAAGGGTTATTCCATCCCATCTGACGTCATGCTGAACAATTAATATGGGGGGCTGGCCGGGGTGGGGAGGGATGGATCTGCTGCTTGAGGACAGGCTTGTCAGCGAGTGGTGAGCAATTGCATTGTGTATCACTTGATTTGTACACATTATTATTATTATTATTATTATTATTATTATTATTATTATTATTATTATTATTATTATTATTATCCTTTCTTTTCTATCCTAATAAAGTGTCTTTATCTAATCCCATAAGCTTTCACTTTTTTTTCCTGATTTTCTCTTGTCCCACAAGGGGGTGGGGGGAGGGTGAACGAACAGCTGTGTGGAGCTTAGCTGCCAGCTGGGTTAAACCTCAACAATAAATCATCTTAATTTCAGTCAGCCTATTGTAAGTAGACGCATTAGTTATTAGGCAACTGATTTGTATTGTCTGTCCTGAAATGGCTTGAAGTTCAGCCATCCAAAGAGAGTCATTCCAACTCCACTCATCTTTTGAAAACACTTCATCTCCTTGTATAGCTAGAGTTGAGAGATTTAAGTTCTTTTGTTTTGCAGTTTTCCAACACTTGCACTATATCGTGACAATGCATTGTTCCAAGGGTCATTATGACATGTCATGGTGAAACACCTCAGCTCCATGCACAACCACAGTAGCCAAGTTTAAGTTTTCCCTGACGGCACGTGTTCCCTTAATTCCAGTGTATTTAACGTGGACTTGGGATCGTGGCCATTCTGTGTCTTTTTGGCTATTAACCAAAGGGGATTGCATTAAGGTCAGGGTAAAGTATAGTTTTATCAATTCAAACTGCTGATTTTTCATTCTCCAACTGTCTACATGCAGTTCACTCAGGATTCCTGTGAACACAAAAGGAAAGAAAATATGCTTGGTTGTATTCAACCGGCAGGGTTAAAAAGAGGGTGAAATCCACTGAGTGCTAATCCGGTGTACTTTTCCTGAACAATCTTTGGCTTGCCATGCGTAGAGTTTTTTGGGGATAGTTGGTACCATTGCTACTGTTCCAGTCTGAGGCATTTTTACCAGCACAGGTTGTCCAGTGTGAAATCCTGTAGGATATTCTCCTGGTTTAGTATAATGCTTGGGGTGATTGTATTGCTAGATGCACAGACTTTCATTTTGGGGCAGCCATCTAAGAATGGGCAGCACCTTGTATCAATGTCACTATTTCTGCCATGTTTGGCAGTCAAAGGTATGGTATTAGCATTTAACTGTCTGTAATCCATGGTAAAACACCATTGCCCGGTTGGTTTCTTTACCAGCCACACCAGTGAACTGTAAGGTGAATGAGTCGTTTTAATAATGCCTCTTTCTTCTAATTCTGTTACCACACTGTCAATCCCCATAAGTGCTGCTGCTGGCAATTGATATTGCCAAACATTAGTGATTTTAGAGGGGGGTAAGGGTATAGATGTTTGTAACAGACAATCTTACTTGTGCCTGAATTCCTTTGATGTGTCGTGAAACTCCACACCATCCCATCTGGGAGTTTCCACATTCATCTACCCAGTATGTCAAATCATAAAATATTATATGCAGCACCAACTAATACTTCTGCCCTGGTTAATTTTCATACCTCTGGCAGCCAGAGTGAAATTTTTGTGGTGGGACATTCTTTCTTCACACTGTCGATTCCTGTGACTTCAACCATGTGTTGACCAGGTCTTATACCCAGGGTTTGTGCTGTCTCATGGGTAATTACTGACATTTGGGCCCCAGTGTCAATGAGAAAGTTTAGCAGTATTTTTCGGGGTCCAGTGGGAAAGGCAATGGTAGGGTCAGAGTATTCAACAGAGAGCCATTGAATTGCTAATACCTGCCGAGCAGGGTGGCTCACTGCCCTCCCCGGAGATAGGAGTTTTTTTGGTTAGCTTCTGCCTCGTCAATTGGGCTCAGTGCAGGTGTACTTTCCTTATGGGTTGGGGGTTTTCCAGTTAGGCAATTCTCCCCAGCTGGAATATTTTCCTTACCCAGAGACTGGACTAATGTATGGAGAACCTCCATAGAGATGCCAAGCAAGATTGGTCAGGGTACACCCAAATCTAGGGCCTTACACCACAACTCACCCTGTTCCTTATTAGGTTTGAACCTCTCTTTGAATTTGGGGTATTTGGGGTTTTGAGTGTGGATTTGGTGAACTCGCCAGGAGTGATCTGGGGACTTAATACTGGATGAACTAATCCAGCCCATTCAGCGTCCATACTTATCTGTCTTGTGCAAATTCACTCCAGGTGGGAATGGGAGAGTGCAGGTTTTGTCTACAACCACAATCGCCTTCCCTATGAACAGCTTGTATGCAATCCTGGGAATTTGCTACAAACATCTTAAAACAATCAGGGAGTCCACGGATGAGAGGGATTAATTGAGCTGGGTCGATAAGGGCTAACATCGGGGATTTCCTAAATTCAAATCTTTCATATATCACCTGTATGCAGGCTGCTTTCTGTACTGCTACAGCCAGGTTGGAATAGCCTGTGGCTCTAATTTCTAGTGTTTCCCCTCTCTCCTGAGGATCTATACCACCTGCCCAGTATGCAGCTCATGCAGTTAAGGAGCAGTTATGCTCTCCTGGCATGGTACTTTCAGGGTCTGCACTATGCGTTAATCTACGAACCTGCTTAACTGGAGCAGGTTGCATTTTATCTAAGAAATGATTAAACTTTTCCAGCAATTGTTTAAGATGACTATTCTCATTCAAAAGTTTAGCAACTCTGATTCCTAATGTTCTTCCTGTCTCCCTTTCAAAGACTAATGATGACTTTAACACCACATTTTCCCATTTTAAAGCTGTATATTCCACATCAGAAACTAGTTTGGGAGCAGAAATTTCCTTAGCTTCTTGCTGAGTGTAAGACAAACAGACTCCTAATACTGCACAAATTACACCTTCACCTTTTTTCACTCCAATCTTTTGCATAACCTGACACTGCTTAATCTGTTCTACCACTGTCTCGCCATATTTCTAAAATTTTTGAGCCCACTCCTTCCCAGCCTGGGAAGGGGGACATTTGTATGTTTTCAGTTTATCCATGGCAATCCTGCCAAATACACCAATTTCTCTGTTTCATTAAAGGTGAGTGCAATTTATTAAAGCAAACGGTACACAGGTTCTTTGGATTGCCGGTGATAAATTCACTGTCTGCAAAGCACATACAAATACCAAAAGTATGAGTAACACAGCCTGGCTATAAACATGTTAAAAAGTATAAAGCGACTCTATAGAGATTTATAAGTTTCCCAGGGAGGCACTTGGTATAACCAAGCGTTCAAATCTTACCCAAAGGCGTCCCAAGGGGGGAGGAAGAGAGGCTCAGCCCGTCAACTGATCCCAGGAGTCAGAAGGTATCCTTCACAATGGTATCTTCCCTAACAACCTTTCTCTCTTAAGCCAATTTATATTATTTTCTTTTAGGTGGAGCTTGAGTGACTCTAGTCATACATATCTTGGTTACAATTGCTGCAAAGTTTTCTCACTTGTGTTTAAAAGTATAGTTTCAGAGAAATCCAGAGCGCATGCTCGGTGAGGGGTGGTCACACCTTGGAGATGGGTAGTTTTTGGGATGGAGGTGTGTTTTGGTATTATAATATTATAATGAGAAAAGTTCACTACAGTACAGCATTTTGTCAAAAACATGACAGGCCGTTGACTCAGGGTAGCAAATGTGAAGTTTATCAGTTTTGGTCTGTACAAGAACAATCAAGTTCCCATCTTATCACAGAACCTAGCTTCAGTGTCTCCACTCCGCTCCACACTCTGTACTGTTCCTCTTAGAGTCAGCACACCAAGTTCCCCCAGTGTGATTAACATCTAAGATTGAAGGCTTAGGGAACTTCTATGTAGTGCAGCTACACTCCACCCTGGAAGCTTCTTCAGTCCTTTCAAAACCTTTTCTTTAAAATGTGAATATCAGTTTAATTTCCAAGTCACCTCAGGCAATTATTCCACACATGTTTAAGGCATACAAGTAGGAAAGACTTCATTACTGATACAGCAGTTTTCTCTTCAAAAAAACAAACATTTTTATCCTCTAAAATTAAGACAACAAAATGGCATATTTGAAAACATTGTGCCAAAATAAACTACACCAACATTTGAATGTTTGTTCAAAGAAAGAAATGAAAAAAAAACAATGTATTGAATAACCCCCCTTATTTAAACTAATAAAAAGGAAAAAGAAAAACACGCTACATCTTTGGCCCAAAATTGTTAGATGTCACCTTATTTAAAAAGGTTTTTCCTAAAAAAGTTAAACATGGACAAAAGCTCATCTTGATATTTTTGCTTTAGAGTTTAAAATTGTGAATTACTTACTATAAAAAGTAGTGCAATTCAAAAATACCTTGACGAGGAATGTCTATATAAGCTGTACTATAAGTGTATGTGACATCACTGAGAGCAGTTGTGCTCATGGATTAACGCTACATAGTTTACACAACCTTGTGGAAAATATATAATCAAAACAGATGCTTATTGCATAGATATACTTCTGCTGCTACAAAGCAAGAGCTGGTGATAAAAACATCTTTATGTCATTCTGAAATGCAATGACTCCTGCCAGAGTACATTTAATATAAATGCAAACAAAACTTACTAGATTTAAAAACAATACCCTTAATGCTATGCACTGAGACAATACTCTGTAAAACAGTTTATTTTCCATATAGTGGACAAATCCAGTCAGTTTTATTATTTTTCTGCTGGTGAATAGTAAATTCAAAGTACTTATTTTCCCACAAGAATGTGTTCACTGTGGCATATTGGGTCTTGCAATAACCCATAAAGCTTTCAATTTAAAGGTTACTTCTAGAAATTTGGAACCGTAACATCAGGTCTTTTTGCCATTAATAACAATGACTACACTACAATAGCTAAAGAACAATTATGTGTGGAAGAAGTAGAACAGATAAATTAAGGAAAAGAGTTTTAGTGTACTTCGCTCATTTTAGACAGCACTCTACATTGCCCTTTTTGCATACAAAGTGGATTTGAGGATTTCCATTGTAAGAAAGAAATGACAAGCAAAACTGTGTTAAGCTGCTTTTTTTTTTCAAGTCTATACTTGGACACTAAGACAGAAGCTTTGCAAGATATTGCAATTCTTTTTGTTTTTATTATTAAATGAGAAAGTCTGATTTGTTACATTGTCACATTGCTAGTCAGAAATGCTGCAGTGAGGAAGAAAGTCAATGCTGGGTCAACCTAAGTCCTCATTCTAAAACATTTGTTTACAAAGAAATTATAGCAATGTTCAACACACCCAACACAACGTTCCTTGCTTTCTTCAGAGAGAAGTCCCATCAATCTTCCTCTAATGAGGCATGTTACTGCATAAATTAAGATTTGTTTTAAACAATACATCCCCATATTTTCATGAGAACAAAACGAGCATCTACAGATGTTACAGAAATCTTCACACATCATCATCATCTGATGTATCACTGCTGCTTGTCTCAGAATCATCATTCTCCAGAGCAGGTTGGAAAGTGCTGTTTTTCCAGGGGCTAAATTTAAAATCGCAGATAAGGCCATTTTTCAAAATGCCGTTTTTCCGAAGGCCATTTTTTTGTAACTGAAAAAAATAAACAAACAAACAAACAGATTTATTTTGAGAGAGAAAAACACAACAACCTGTTGCATTTCAACATTCTCTGTCTTCATTTATGGGCTACATTAGATCCACAGCACTACGTGTTTTATATACACACAAATGAAAATTCACCTGAGAGCCTTCACTTCTGAACCAGCCACCTGCATCCAAGAGTTTCCAATCATACTAAGCTAAGTGAACAAGAGTTTACTCTCTTCCCATCTACTTCCTCAGACATTTAACCCCAGTGACTCTCAGAGTGGTCTCTCCCATGATGCAGTCCATTTTTCTGCAGTTGTGGTGGTTTTACTCAGCTGGGAAGCTGAACTCCACCACAACAGCTCTCTTACTCCCCTTCCACAAAGGGAAAGGGGAAGAAGATACAATGCAAAGGGCTCAAGGGTTGAGATAAGGACAGGGAGATCACTCAACAATTATCATCACAGGCAAAAAAGACTCAGCATAGGGAGATTAATATAATTTATTGCCTATCACTAGCAGGCCAGAACAGAGAGAATCTAAAAGCAAACTAAAAACACCTTCCCCCCATCTACCTTCTTCAACATCCTCCCCCCAAGCAGTGCTGGGGAATGGAGGTTGTGGTCAGTCCATAACACTGTTTCTGCTATTCATTCATGGTCACTCTTTTCCCCTGCTCCAGCATGGGGTCCCTCCCACAGGATAAAGTCCTTCCCAAACTGATCCTTCGTGGGCTTCCACAGGCAGCAGCTCTTCAATAACTGCTCTAATATGGGTCTGTATCACAGGTCCATCCTTCAGAAGCAAACTGCTCCAACACGGGTCTCTCACGGGCAGCAGCTCCTGCCAGGTCACCTGCTCCTGAATGGGCTCCTCTCCACAGGCAACAGGTCCAGCACGGAATCTGCTCCAGCAGGGGTTCTCCACAGGCTGCAGCTTCCTTCAGACCAGCTTCACCTGCTGCTCAACCATGGGCTCCTCCACAGACTGCAGTGTAGAAATCTGCTCTGCTGTTGTACACCATGGGGGACAACCTGCTCCACCATGGTCCTCTCCACAGATGTCAGGGGAACTTCTGCTCCAGCTCTTGGAGCAGCTCCTCCCCCTACTTCTTCATTGACCTTGGTGTTTGCAGGGCTGTTTCTCACTCTTTGCTCTCCCAGCTGCTGTTGCACAGCAGTTATTTTCCTCTTCTTAAATATGCTCTTACAGAGGCATAAACAACATCATTTATTGTCTTGGCTCTGGCCAGCATCAAGTCCCTTTTGGAGCTGGCTGGAACTGGCTCTTATCTAACATGGCACAGCTTCTGGATTCTTCTAACGGAGGCCACCCCTGCAGCCCCCCTGCTACCAAAACCTTGCCACATAAACCCAAGCCAGCAGTCTACTACTTCAAAAAATAAAAATAAAAAATCAGTTGTAGATTGCGTGCTCAGACTCTGTTACTAGTGAATTATATGTTCCTCGATTTCCAGTGAAGAAAGCCAAGGAAGATGCATAAAGACCTTGAAAGAAAATTCCCTTTCCTCAGGCTGAGTTGAGGAGCTAGAAGGCCTGTGCAATTCTGTAACCAGCAATGCTGAAACTAATTAGAATCCATCCTCTCTTCTTTCTTTGATATTTTGAGAATAGACCTCATCTAAAATAAGTACTGCTTCCCATATCTTTTTTAACCAGCTGTTTTTCTGAAAGGACAAGGAAGGCAAGGAGAGGAAAGAAAAAGGGTACTGAAATGGCATCACCCTTAACTATCAAAATTATTGGGGATCCTCCTTAAAAGGTAGGTATTTAGGGTAGCCACTTGCAAGTTCATAATGGAACATCAACTTAACGTTACCTGTTCACTAATGGCTTGGAATTCCCTCATCTCATCCTCTGTTAGTGGAGCACATGTTTCATCATTTTCACTCTCTTCCTGCCAGCCCATCTCCTTTAACAACCTTTAAAATAAAAAGGACAATATTAAGGAATTTCTACATGTACTCAGACATTTCAAGCTCTGCCTACGTGAATAGGTAAAGATGTGTAATATATGGATTAGTCCATAATTTGATTTTTAAACAAACTCTTATATAAAAGTAGGTTAAAAGTGTAAGATACATAAAGCACAGAAGTTGAGAAGTTCTCAGGTCCTTCACAGCTGACCCTGTTTTTGCTATTACATTTAATTAGGCTACAAAACCTAAGTAGTAATATTTTATCTATAGAACACATTCTTAATTTCAAGCAAATATCTACACCATCACTTGCACACACCAAGTATTAAATTTTCTGCCATCAGGTTTCATATACAAAACAGACCCTGCCCCCTTCTGCCAATCCAGTAAATGTACCAACAAAAGCTAAGTTTCCTGTTGTATCGCTTCAAGATATTTATTAATCAACTGATAACATTCCCAGATATAGCCACTCTCAGCATAAGCTGCCCGATGTTTCAAATAAACTCTTATGGAAACCAGGCTAATAAGAACCTCAGTTTTTCCTATTGTTTCAATTGAATGGCTGCTCTCCAGAACTGTAGCAATAAAAAAAGTAAAAGAGAAAATATTTTGGACCATATGCAAGTTCAGCTGTTGATGAAGTGTTTCTCTTGAAAGCTTATCTAGTATTGCCATGACGTGGACTTTACAGACCATTAAACTCCAACTTCCATTGTCAAGATATTTATCTAAGAAGTTATCCAAGGTAAATGACTTCATGGATTCATCAAGGGAAAGTCCTGCCTTAGTAATTTGACCTCCTTCCACGATAAGGTCACCTGCTTGGTGGGTGAAAGGAAAACATTGGACGTAATCATTCTGGAATTTTTAAGGCCTTTCATACTTAGCCTCATGGCATCCTTCTAAACAAACTGTCCAATTATGAGATAAACAAGTTCATGCTACACTGGGTGATGAACCGTCTGAATGGTAGAGCTCAAAGGCTTGTAGTGAATGGGGTTACATCTAGCTGGTTGTACTGGGTCTGGCCGGGATGTTAACTTTCCCTGCAGCAGCCCATACAATGCTGTGCTCTGTACTTGTAGCTAGAACAGCAGTGGTATCACACCAGTGTTGTGTCGGCTGCTGAGCAGTGCTGGCACAGCATCGGGACTCTCTCTAACCCTCCTAGGGGGTGGGCAAAAAGGTGAGCAAGAATCATCACCAGGGCAGCTGACCTAAACCAACCAAAGGGATATTCCATACCATATGATGTCACACTCAGCAATAAAAGGTGGAAACAGGAAGAAGAGGGGAGGGGTGGGCTCTTGTTGTGAAAACATCTGTCCTCCTGAACACCGGCTATGTGCGTTGAGGCCCTGCTTCAAGGACGTGGTCAATCATCGCTCATTTGTGGGAAGTAGAGAGTAATTTCTTTCCTCTGCACTTCCATATAGCCTTTAGTTGTTTTTTTTTTTTTTTTTTCTTTTTTCCCTTTCCCCCTCCCTTTTCACCTTTCCCTTGTTTTTCCCTTTAGTTAAATTGTTTAGTTAATAATAATCTTTCCTTCCTTAATAATTATTATTATTTTTTCCCTTTAATTAAATTATCCTTATCTCAACCTGTGAGTTGTTCTTTCCTTTACTTCTTCCCCTCCTCATCTAAGGAGGGGGAGTGAGAGAGCAGTTGTGGTGTTCAGCTGCCTAGCGCGGTAAAATCACCACACTGGTAGCCAGTCACTAGAGGCATTCCCCAGAGCACAATTGGGCCAGTCTTATTCAATGTTTTTATCAATGATGTGGATGCAGGAGTGGAATGCATCCTCAGCAAGTTTGCTGATGATACTAAACTGGGAAGTGCTGCTGACACCCTGGAGAGATGAGAGGCCTTGCAGGGGGATCTAGATAGATTGGAGCCTTGGGCGATCGGCAACAGCATGAAGTTCAACAAAGCTAAATGCCAAGTTCTATATCAAGGATGAAGTAATGCCAGACACTGATAGTCTGTAAGATGAGTAGCTTGAGAGCAGCTCAGCAGAAAGGAATCCAGGGTGGTGGTTGACAATAGGTTCAACGTGAGTCAGCAGCATGCCCTGACAGCCAGGAGGGCAAACCACATTTTGGGATGCATTAAACACAGCATAGCCAGCCAGTCAAAAGAGGTGATTCTCCCACTATATTTAGTGTTGGTGTGGTCTCACCTTGAATAGTGAGCATAGTTCTGAGCTCCACAACATAAAAAGGATGTTAAGGTACTTGAAAGCATCCAGCAGAGGGCTACAAAGCTGGTAAAAGGGCTGGAAAACTGTGGCAGTGTACTCCTGGCCCCCCCTTAACCTGACCCTTCACCTGTAACCTTGCTTGGGCGACAACCATCAGTGACAACCATATTGAATGCATCTGGTCATGACAGTTAAACTAGGCTCAAGGTAGATTCAGGGGAGATAGATCTAATGGCTAACAGACCATGCACCAATCAAATATGGCTGGCATTTTTATGTGCACTACAGGGACTTTATCCCCTTCTACAGTATGTAACAGGTTTGACTGGGGAGGTCTGGCTCAATTGGCAGATCCCCTAGTGTTGACTAACCAGGTGGCCTTTGCCAAATGTGCATCCCAATTTTGAATGTCCCAGCACCCATTGCCTTCAGTCTAGTCTTTAATAGTCCATCACAGTCTTGTGGATGCTGATGAATGATAGGGGGATGTGATTTACCCACTCATGGACATGCTCTTTGGCCTAGGTGTCTATGAGGTTGTTTTGGAAATAAGTCCCTGTGGCTGTGTACTCCTCTTGCTCCCCCCAAACCTGACCCACCTGTAACCCTGCTCAGGTGATAACCATCAGTGGCAATTGTGATGAATGCTCCTGGTCATGACAGCCTAACCTGGCTCAAGGTAGATTCAGGGGAGGTAAATCCAAGAACTAATGGATCATGCAACAAATATGGCTGGTATGCAAATATGACTAGTAGTCAATCTTCTTAGCCCATAAATAGGGGACAGACAAGAGCCTGCTAAGCTCTCCTGTACTGCAGCAACCTGTATGCCAAGATCTTCCCCTTTAGCAGGGATGCCTCTCAAGGTTACTCCTCGAGGTCAAGAGATTCCTTACCTGGGACAGATACTCGGTAAGTGACTAATAGCTAGCTTGTTGAAACTTTGCAAGTAATTTGCTAAGCACGCTGAAACTTTGTAATCTTAACTGATATAAAGGAACGATTGTGCATATAAACTGATAAGTCTAGGATTGAGATATGATCCACTCATATCTAGGCTCCTCAGAGTTTGTATGGCAAAAGGGACTCCATTCTGAACCTCGTAACTCAATGTGAGGATCTCCCTGATACTTTGTCTAACCCTGTCCTCTATGCAGTAAATAATCAAGTGACCTTGCCATCATGAATCTTGTTAATGCCACATTTACCATTAGAGCTTTATTAAATTGCTGTCTCAACCACAGTTTATCTCTGCTAAATCACTATTTTCATCAATAAATATATTGCTGCTTCTCTCTTACAAGTGAAGTGAATAATTCCTTTTGTGACAAAGGCATGTCCTATGACAAGAGGCTGAGGACACTTGAGTTGTCTAGTTTGAAGAACAGAAGGCTAAGAGGTGACCCCATTGCTTTCTACAACTTCTTAAGAAGGGGAAGTGGAGAGGGAGGTGCTGGTCTCTTCTCCCTAGTAAACAATGACAGGACATATGGGAAGCGCACAAAATTGTGCCAGGGGAGGTTCAGACTGGACTCGAGGAAAATTTACTTGACTGTGAGGGTGATCAAAAACTGGAACAGGCTTCCTAGCAAGACAGTTGATGCCCCAAGCCTGCCAGCATTCGAGACATTTGGATAATGCCCTCATTAATATGCTTTAACTCCTGGTAAGCCCTGAAGTGATCAAGCAATCGGAGTAGATGATCTTGGAAGGTCCCTTCCAACTGAACTATTCTATTCTAAACACTTGAGTACAACCTTGAGTACCACTCGCCAAGGTGATCAGCTGCAGTACAGGCAAGTTCTGCAGCGGAACAAGGAATGATGGCATGCAGGGGAGTTCCTGCAAGGCCTCTGATGAGGCTTAGACAGGGCCAGGAGCAGTGGCAGCCAGCCCCACATGTACAAAAGCATCACCAATGGAGAACCATCAACCAGGAGGAGGGTTAAGAAGGGAGGCAAACAGGGTGTAGTGCATCAGCTAAGGAGTGGTGGGGCAATTTGTGCAGAAGGGCACTGTCACTGCCACTTCCAACAGCGATTGGAACCTGCTGTCTTGGGTTTAGATAGCAAGGGCTTGGTAGCAGGGGGGCTGCAGCAGTGGCCTCTGTGAGAAGAGTCCAGAAGCTGCCCCATATTAGAGAAGAGACAGTTCCAGACAGCTCCAAAAAGGACCAGCCGCTGGCCAGAGTCGAGTCAATAAATGATGTTGGCTGTGCCTCTGTAAGAACATATTTAAGAAAGGGAAGAAGAAAAAAATCCTGCTGTGCAACAGCAGCTGGGAGAGCAAGGAGTGAGAAACAGCCCTGCAAACACCAAGGTCAGTGAAGGAGAGGGAGGAGGTGCTCCAGAGCAGAAGTCCCCCTGCAGCCCATGGTGTATGATGACGGAGCAGATCTCCATGCTGCAGCCTGTGGAAGGAGCCCATTGTGGAGCAGGTGGACCTGACCTGAAGGAGGCCCATGGAGAGCCCCTCAGGAGCAGGCTCCAGGCCAGACCTGTAGCCCTTGGAGAGGAGCCCGTGCAGGAGCGGGTGATCTGGTGGGAGCTTCCACCTGTGGAGGACCCATGTTGGAGCAGTTTGCTCCTGAAGGGTGGATCCTGTGATACAAACCCATATTGGAGCAGTTCTTGAAGAGCTGCTGCCTGCGGGAAGCCCATATAGGATCAGTTTGGGAAGGACTACATCCCATGGGAGGGACCCCATGTTGGGGCAGGGGAAGAGTGACCATGAAGGAGTGACAGAGGTGAAGCATTATGGACTGACCACAACCTCCATTCCCCATGTTGCTGCTTGGGGG